TTTTCTGTAAATATAACAAATTTGTATTCTTGATGACTTCTTTTTTTAACTTGCTTTATTAAAATCGGATCACTATTAATTATATTTTTGGGTTGAATAATGCTATGTAGCCCAACTGATGTTATAATTCCAATTTAGTTGACGCTACTAAATGAAAGATAAAATTAAATGACTTATTTAATTTCACCTATTATTTAATGTCTCATTAACGCCATTTAAACTGTGATTGTAACTCCAATAAAATTAAATAGCATTACTCTTTTGGGTCTGTGCAACTAGATCCAAGTGTTGCACCAAGAAGCGTTGATAAACAGAGCCATGTGGGTTAAGAATAATAAAAAATAAAATACAAATTTGATATAGCAATTAAATATACAATCATTTTACAAGTACATCAATTTTAACACATTTTTTCACAGCACACGCACATGTAAGTGGGTGGGGTCCACGATTAAAATAATTGTGAACCCCACCTTTGTAAGGAGGTGTGAAAATTGCTTTTAAAAAAATATGATGTATAAAAAGCATTTTTCTTAAATATATGTATAGAGCCTTTGTCCTTTCCAAGCTTTGTGTCATTGGCATTATGATGATAAAACCAACGTGTGACAGCGCAATTCATGGGGCGTGAACAAGGTTGCAGCTATCCAACAACAACTGCCTCACTGCATAATTCAACGTACTTTTCAGATTTCAATGAATACCAATAGGGTAATTGGCGCAAAACGTCCCTACCTTTCAACTTCATTGTGAAAAACGTCCTCACCTTTCATTTTTTGGCATTTTTGCCCTCAAATCAACCTTTCGTTGCGATGAAGGTCCTTCCGTCCAATTGCCATCCATTTTGCCGTTAATTAAAGAGAGAGACTCAATTTCTTGCTGGTCAACGGGGTAAAACCGTCCTCACCCAACTGAACTCTTCTTCCCGCCTTCTACGTAGTCCACATAGTAACAGTAACTGAAAAATGGGTGTGAAAATATTTTAAATTATTATATTAAATGAAGGAAAAAACTGTCGTGAAGAACATATATGGTGAAATCCAACCACCAGGTCTACCATTGCTGCTCTAATGTTGGGTTTCTAGAAAAATGTAGCAAGACATGTATTGAATGTGTGGTCAATTTATAGAGACAATTACTAGGTTTTCATTTCTAGTTTATGCTTATTGTGACCATGGGGTAAATGGCGAAGATCAAGTGGAAATGGGTGCTGTGTATTTATCATTTCAGTGGTACTGGCTCATTTTGGCTTATTGGTGAAGATGACGGGTCCTGTTCACTTTTTTTGGGAATCTAATGAACATTGCGTTAATAATCCCTACGTAGTTATAATTTTTCTTAAGACATCCCTACCTATAAAAAGTATTGGCGATTGACGTCCATACCTTTTTAAAAAATTTTGGTGAGAGCGTACCCTGTTTTCTTCCATATACCACCTGTTGATACACACCAACTCAAAAGTCCCCAAATATACAATTCTATGACAGAATTTGAGCACAATTCATCCACCAATTGACCGAAAATTGAAACAAAAATAACCACTACCTGTTGAAGCTAAGATAAACGAAAACTGAAGCAAAAATAGATACAATTCATTTCAAATATGCAAAATATCCACTCTGCAGCCAACATAAGTTCTGAACATCAAAAATAGGTTCCTAAACACCAAAAACAGGTTCCTAAAGTGCTATATTGTATCCACTACCTGATGACAATTTGTGCACTGAACAACAAAAACAAAAGCCAAAAAATTAATAGAACTTGGCAGAGAGTTTTCATCCTAACAAGGTGCTGGAGGTGGGTTGATCATTGCCGGGCTTTCCCAGAAACGGAAGAAACATGTTGTTCCTTGAAGTCCTGTGTAACAATAATAAACTTTATCAGAATCCTACACATACACTCAATCATGCAAAGCACCAAAATATGAAATGGAAAACGAAAATACCGACAAATAATGATTTTTACCGTCGCGTCGCTTGTTGGAAAAACTCTCAATGTAGGTTTCCACTACGCCGACTGCTGATATGCGCCCATACGAGAGGAGAATGGAGGAAAAATTGTAGAAATGGAAGATAAATGGAAATTTTTGAAGAACTAAAAGGGAATGGAATGGGAACTGCCTCTTGTTGTTCGAAGAAAAAGATGAAAATGAAAGGTTCAGTTGGGTGAGGACGATTTTACCCCTGTTGACAGCAAGAATTTGAGTCTCTCTCTTTAATTAACGACAAAATGGATGGCAATTGGACGGAAGGACCTTCATCGCAACGAAAGGTTGATTTGAGGGCAAAAATGCCAAAAAATGAAAGGTGAGAACGTTTTACACAATGAAGTTGAAAGGTAGGGACGTTTTGCGCCAATTACCCAATACCAATAAAGAAGTTATAGATATATGCTCTATAGATATGTAGATATATATACTTATTTGAAAATTATTTTTTAAAATTTATTTCGAAATACATATTTTTTTTAATAAAATAATTTTTTAAATAAATTCATAACTTCCCCTGCTTTTAACAATGCTTTCTCCTGAGAATTAATTTCACTTTAAAATAATCTGTCAGAAAATTTACTAAAGGGTTGATTGACAAAGCTTTTATAAAAGTTTTAGTAGATTTTGACCCCGAAGAGCAAACCGCTCGAAAGAGGAATCTTCAAAAGTAGTTTTAAAAACGAGATTGCGTTGTATGCTCGCCGCGTTTTGACTACAATTATTTAAATTTGAACTAACAAACGGGCAAGCGGAGTATGGCAGCACACAATGTGCCAAAATGCCACATGTGAATGAAAGCAATGTGCGAAGAAATGACTACTCAACCATGAAACTTATATAAAAATAATAGAGAGGCAAGAAAGAGTAAGAAACGGGCAAATAAGCCTTTCATGCCTGCTAAGGGATTTTTTTTTTTTTTTTTTAAATTGTCATCAAGAATATATATATATATATATATATATATATATATATAAACAATCATGCGAACTCCATCCCATGTGAGAGGATGGATATCCTTAGGTACAAGAAATTATATAGATCGAACTGCTTGTACATCAATTGTTGTACAGCAGCCTCCATAACCCCTCACAATTGAGGGGGATGCTTCAATTTTTATTTGTTTTTAATGAGCGTCAACTAAATCTCTTCCCTCTCTGTCTCTTTTACTCTATAGTATATATCACCTTGCAAAACAATTAAGATCAGGTGCACAGTAAAATTGAATGATAGATAATCAAATCTCTCTTTTTTTTTTTTTTTTTTTAAAGTATAAAAGATAAACATTGATTATATATAAAATATTATTTCTTTTCCTAAATAAATAATAAAATAATATTTGTTACGAACGTATCTTTGAACTGAAATAACACTTAATTAACTTTAAAAAAACTTACATTTTCTTTAGTCGAAAATACGTTATTGAATACGAGCTACGAAATGAGCCCAATATTAGCATACTTCTACTCATTCTATCAAAATTTAATTATTTGGTCAAAGTAAAATATGAATTTAAAACTTATTTCATTTTGACCCTCAATTTTTCAAAATATAAAATTATAACATATAAAACAAATACATTTTTATGCTAAAATTTCAGGGATGTTACAACCTCCTCATTAACGCTAACTTTTTTGGCTTTTGTACACCGGGCCCACTGGACAATTAAAATTTAAAAATGATGAATTTGGAGATTTTTTTTTTTTTTCCAAAATGGGTGGGCGATCAGTTGGATAAATCACCTCTCAAACAGTTAATTGACTGGTTAATCCAAATTGATTTATATTAGCCACCCAATTTAATCAAACTCATTTTCAAACCATAAGTTACGCTCGACAAAAGATCCACAACTTAATTTCCAACACTTATTCTCATTTTGATTATACCAAACAAACAAGTTACAATGACCCATCCAACTCTCGAAAAAATTTTAATTTTTTTTTTATTCTTTATAATAATAGTACATAAGTTCTAGAGAGACAACTTTATGATATTCTTCTTTTCAAAAAAATCCATAAATTTAAACTTTTTTTATTTTTTTATTTTTTTTTTCTTGTTAAGATTTCAGACTCAAACATGGTATGGTCCATAGACCAAAGAAAACGTTGAGAATAAGATAAATATTAATGAAGATGCCACCTTTCCTTCTCTATTCCGTGACACACTTCTCATTTTCTTCTCTGCACTCGTCTCTATTATTGCTACTATTTTAGGCCATAAAATGGATTGATGTTGTAACATTTTACCTCTTCCAACAATTTGACCAAGTATTGCTTTCAAGTTACATAAATGTTTATACAGTCATTCTTGTCCGATCATTATCAATAAGCATTTCTAGGAGTGGTCTCGATTTATATAAAGATAAAAATAATGACAGATGAGCACGTGATACTTTTTGGATTACAGCGATAATCAATAAAGAGGATACATACTCGATCAAACAAAAGGGAGCCAGAAGTATCCCTTCTTTCAAAGAGATGATGACGAGTTAATTCACATTTCATTTGATAGTTAGAGATGATTTGAAAGCTAAGTAGTTGAAATTCTTTTTGATTCTTTCAAAGAAAATAAATGTCTCTCAATACATGGATAAAAAAATAATCCATCGATACATTTATAATGGTGTATAAACATTAACCAAGCATTAGTTAAACAACTAAGTCCTCATTTGGTGCTGTTAAGGGATAAAATTTCCACAATGAATAAAGATGAAAATATAAACAAATTTATAAAGGATTTGTGTTACTCCTCTTAACAAGGTTGACCTTTTAAGATAAAGAGGCTGTTTGGGAGTGATTTTGAGAATTAATTTTTTGATCGTTAAGAGAAAAGTGGGGTCCACTTGTGAGAGAAGAAGTCAAATATGACGGCTGGAATAGTGAAATAACGGTCAAAAAATCAATTTTTTGGATGAAAAAATCGGGCCCAAACAGCCCTAAAATCTCAAACTTTAACATGATATTAGAGCTCATTAAATTCTAACGAGCAATTCAATCCGATTAAGACTCAAAAAATGAGCATGGACTGGGGTTCAACGGTAAGTGAGTGCGGAGATCTTTGATCGCGAAGAACACAAGATCTTAGATTGGTTTCCCTTGATTTTACGAATCAAGTTAGAGCAAGAGCAATGTATTTCTGTACATAATCCAACTACGGATGTTTTATCTATATTCCTTTACCACTGCAAGTTCTCGCAATGAAAAAAGCTCCATTAACGGAATACCTTCACACTCGCAGTTGTAGGTTAGTTAGGAAAACCCAACCCATATTCCTCAGTGGTGTTCTTGATGGATTTTGATAACATATTTTCTGCAATCTTGTATTAGGTCGAGATCGGAACTCAAGAAAATCTAGCTAAAAATTCCCTCGCAAGTGCCACTTCACTCGAAGATAGCATCTTGTTAATTTTTGTACTGTGCTTTCATTCGGTGTTTGAGGGCATTGTGATTGGATTAGCCGAGACAAAGGCAGATGCTTGGCGAGCCCTTTGGACCATCTGTCTACACAAGATATTTGCCGCAATTGCAATGGGAATAGCTCTTCTTAGGATGATTCCGAATTGTCCCCTATTTTCTTGTGTAGCTTATGCTTTTGCATTCGCCATGTCAAGTCCTATCGGCATTGCCATTGGAATTATAATAGATGCAATGATGCAGGGAGCTGTTACAGACTGGATTTACGCGATATCTATGGGTCTGGCTTGTGGGGTTTTCATTTATGTGTTGATTAACCATTTACTATCAAAGGGTTATAAGTCTCAAAAATCGGTTTCAGTCAATATGTCACATCATAAGTTTCTGGCCGTGTTGGTCGGCGTCGACGTGATTGTCGTCGTAATGATTTGGGATACTTAAGCTTCCTTTGATGTTTCTTGAGTACATGTAAACACGAGTGATTTGTAATATTCAATTCAAACACAGTTAATTTCAGTTAGTTACTGTGATATTGATATTTACAATGGAGGTCATTGAACTTTCACCCTTATTGCAATAGGATCTCTGAACTTCAATTTCAAGCAATCAAGTCACCGAACTTTAAATTCAAAAGAAATCATGGTACTCTCTTTAAATTCCGTTAGTGTGCCTAAAGGAATTCATAGACATGTACGACAATACTAAAGAAATTGCTAGTGCGGTCATCACAACAAGCAAATTAAAAGCCATCTCATTTTACTTTTTATTTATTTTTAATTCAATTTGAATTTAAGATCATAAAATTAAAATAAAAAATAAGATTTGAAGCGGAATCCAGAAGTTGGGTTTTCTTTCTATATATTCGTTTCAGGAGTTTCAGGAATTTAGAACAATATAGTTCCATTCATAGGATGAAAGTTTGGCGACAAGATACTACACACTTAAACACGAAGGACTGCACGTGCAATTATCATCTTCAATTATTGTATATTTGTAAATTGAAAAAATGTTCCATAAGAAATGCTTATTATTATTTCCACCCTCAATGAGTTCTGGACATATGCGAGATTTTGGCTCGCTCGCTCGCGCTCTCTCTCTCTCTCTTCCCAAACTGAAACCCTGACTCTAGAGGGAGAATGGCTTCAATTTCATTATCCTCACTGTCGGTACCATTTTCGACCTTACCCAATTCCTCCATTAGTAATTGCAGACCCGAGTTTTCTGTTCTCTCTTTGCCTTCCTCAATTTCCTCAAAGTTACATGCCCTGAAACCCTATCGAGTTTCCCCTTCCAGAACTTTTGCTGTTCCTGAAGTTTTGGAATCCAATGCTGCTTCTGAGGTTTGTTTTGTTATCGACTCAGTTATAATTATGTTTGATAATTATGCACTTTTCACATGATTGAAATGATTTTCTTTTTGGGTTTTCTGGGGTCTTAGGACGAGGCTCCTTCCTCTTCAGTGCCGAGTGTTGGTACAGATTCTGAGAAAGTAACTTCTCTTTTCTTCTTATTCACCTGCACGCTATGTTCTTTGTATTTGGTTATTAATATTGCTTTTGCTAAAATTATAGTAGCAGGATTAATTAGTTGTTGAGTGACATTGCGTATCAATTGCTGCTGTAATTATCTACTTTATCCTAATTACTATGAGGTAGACCAGTAGAGAGAGAATGGAGTTATGAAATGCAATGGCTCCAATTAAAACACTGTCACTTTTCATTGATGTCAATGTATTTGCCTTAACACGTTCATATCTAATACTGAATCAATCAGTATTCAGTGCGAAGAATTGTCTGCTATAGGAATTTGGTTTCACATGAGCTTTGTATATTACATCCCAGGAGAACCTTCCGGGCCCCATTTAGCAGGGCTTTTGAAAAGCCAAAAGCGATTTTGATACTAAGAAATTGCTTTTGAACATGGTTGAATAGTTTTCTGAAAGTGTTTTGTGTGGTAGAGGGAAAACTGATTCTACAAGATGCAGAAGCAAAAATATCTTCATGATATTTTAAAGTCTCGTAGGGATTATCATCGTATTTCCCTCTACTATTAAAAGAGCGAATGCTGCAATCACTATTCATTTGTGAAGTATTTTCTTTTCCTATTTTGCCCTTGAATGGACTGTTGATTAATGAGGCCATGCATGGAAAAAAAGGGCAATATGAATATTTCATTCATCTCTTTCACTTTGGGTTGGGTTGGGTTGTAATGTACTGAAACCCTAGACTATTCCCCGCCCCAAAAAAGGCCACAAAAATTTTTCACTCAAAATCCTCGTTCTGTGCTATACATTCACCTAAAACTCTTTGACTTCGAAGTTCTGCTATGCGTATCGCTCGCTGTTGGATAGCTTGTAAATTTTTGGGCTGGCAAAGAAGTGTAATCTTGAAGAAGCCCAGATGCTCGTGCAAAAACTACATCAGTACCAATTAGAAGGCTCGAATTCCGTATTTTTTTAGAGTTTGATTTTGGCTATGATTAATTGGTTATCCGCGCTTCTGAGATTTATGATACTTGAAGTATGAGGTTGAATAATGGTTGAATTTCTTGATATGAACTGAAACGTAATTTATGTTATATTTTTGTTTTAAATTTTTAGAATTTGAATTTCCTCTTGAATTTGTGTGGGCAGGGATGACCATTTTACAGCTTTTTAATGCCGGTTCTGCTTCAGAAAATTCTTGATTGACAAAGCTGCTTATTTCTGAGCCATCCATTTGTTTTCCACCACCCATTTCCTTAATGCCCCTGTTGTTTCCTTTCTCACACAAAATTGCCTCCTCAACCTTTGGTGAAAATCTAAAACAAATAGAGGACATCTCTACAGGAAATTGTAGAGTCTCGACTCCAAGTATATTCTTCTCATACAAGTTTTTTTTTTTTTTTTTTTTTTTTTTTTTTTTTTTTTTTTTTTTTTTTTGGTATTTTATTTAATTTTTTTCGAACTCTATTCTTCTATGTTTGTTTCAATTTTTGTGAAAGTTTCCCAAAAATTCAGAAAACTTCATGTTTAGTGCAGTTTAGGGTTATAAGTGATGGAATTGATGTCTCTATGTTTAAGTTAGGTTAGAGTCCATTGTTTCTTTTTTGGGGATTATAGTTAATATTTGTAGTTGTACATCCAGAATTTTTTGGTTCATTGTTGTTTGGTTGAAAGTTTATAGTGTTGGGCTTATTTATATATCTGCATACGTCGTGTTTTAATTTTTTTTTTTCCCCACTATGAGTTCTCCTGTGCATCAAGAATTACAAACCTTAAATCAAGATTTTATTGTTTACTGTTTACAATTTTTTTGATTCCGCGTTGTTTTGCTTATTTTATTTCTTCTATTTATATGGAAAAAGAAGGAAAAAATGTTCAAGGATTTTGATTAGTTTATAAATATCTGATTTCTTGTTTTTCGCTTCTATGACCATTGATTATTCTATTATTATTTACTTTAATGGGTGTAAGACTCATTACAGATTTTTTAGCATATTTTTTAATTTTTTTACTAAATTTATGTGCAAATAAAATGAGAAATTATTTAAATGGAAGTCTCCTAATTTTCATGCAATGCCATTTTGTTAGTGTGCATTAGTCCTATGCAATTATTCAAGTGAGTAAATTATTGATGGAAGTGTGTACCTTTAACGTGCTTGAACTTCCAGTATATGCTGTTTAGTTTTTATTCACTTTTTCATTCTTCATGGATAATTTATTTATTTATTATTATTATTTTTATTATTATTATTATTATTAATTTTTTTTCCCATTTTGCTAGACATCTAGCCATACTTATGCTGAGGTGCAAAATGTATTCCAACTATAGTTTTTCTTGTGAAAAGAAATTTAATAACACCACTTCTCCTAGGATGTCTTAAATATATAATATGTAGAAATAGAATTGTATCTTGATGTGAAACTTTCGAATTATATTGTAATTTAGGCAACATTCTTTCTTTTATACAGATGTTTGCATTGAAATTTTGTGATAGAGTTTCTTGTCAATCCTTGACATTTTTAAGACGTTAACATTACCTTCAAAATAACACATCACGTGCATTGCACGGCAAAAAACTAGTATCTTTAAAATTTGAAATAAGGTTGGTGTACTGTCTATTACAGATTGAACACGTGCTTAATGCATTATATTATTGATCTACAAATTGTGTATATTATTTTAATACTTTCACACACATGTATATTTAAATTATTAGGATGAAATGGAATTAGACAAGGGTGTGAGGAAGACAGAGGAGTCATTGAATGATATAGAGTGCTTGACGGCATGTCTCGTATAATGTCCACAAATTTGTGAACTAGGATCAACTTACTATGCGAACCAACAATGCATTTCTCTACCAGGGCATGATCGTATACCAATGGAGGTCGAAGATAGGTCTCATAAGGTCTAAAAATAATTGGGGTTAAAGGCTATCAATCTCCACACAGATCAATCCAATGGAAGGAAGATAAGGCATACAAATAATTGGGTTAAAGGTGCCCCTCATGGGGTGGTTGAGTTGATAGAGTAGGTGAGCGCGGAAACCTTTGGTCACGAGTTCGATTTTCCCCGCCAACACTTTCTCGATCTAGCTTGTCGAATCGAACTTGCCTAGTGTGGTGTACCTGGCTGTCACGATTTACCAATGGAGGTCGAAGATAGGTCTCATAAGGCCTAAAAATAATTAGGGTTAAAGGCTATCAATCTCCACAAAAATCAATCCAATGGAGGTAGAAGATATGGCATACAAATAATTGGGTTAAAGGCTATCAATTTCCACACAAATCAATTATTAAGCCGTTTGATTATCTTTTCATTGTATTCACTTCATTATTAGCGCATGTTGGCACTCAGTTTATATCCATTCATGGTTGGTCCCATAAGTTTTAATGTTTTGATGTTCCTTTCATTTTGTTCCATGCATACTGATATTCCTATGAATTTGGCATGTCCAAATAATTGAGTGCTATATTTTTACATTTTCTTGTTGGATATTGAAGAATTTGCGCACTTTTGTTCGGGAAATATCTGTATTTAGATTGAATTTTGGTCCATCTGATACTTAGATCAAAGTTTTAGCTGATGAGATTCCATAATATAGTCCTATTGTAAATTGCTGTAAAAATCTTACGCATTAAGCCCTTGTTTCGTAAAATTTAAAACTCGTCAAAGTCAACAATTAATTTTATCTACACATTTTATAGGACACACAACTTTTCAACAACACATTTCATTAACTTTTATAATAATCTGCTAAAAATTTGATTTTAATACCTATCAAATAGGGGATAAATATTTATTGTGGTAAAATTACCAAAATATCTCCCCATAGCTACAAAAATCACATTTCTTCAATTTCATTTGCCAAGTTTTGATTATAAATATGGCATCGAAACTATTCTTCAAGAAAACCAATCTCAAGAATTTTATGCAAATTCCTCTTGCTCTCTAGAAATAAGAATGACTACTTTACTTTGTCTTACTTTTCT